AGGGGCAGCAGCAGCAGCTGCAGCAGCTGCAGCTGCGAGTGGATTCGCTGCAGCAGCAGCTGCAGCAGGAACGCCAGAAGGCCCGAGATGAGGCTGCAGCGCTGCAGCAGGAGACAGCAGCCCTCAGGCAGCAGCTGCAGCAGCAACAGCAGCTGCAGCAGCAAGATAACGGAGAGCATGGGCAGCAGGAGCGGCAGCATTTGGTGGAGCAGCTACAGCAGCAGCAGCAGCAGATCAAGCTGCTGCAGCAGCAGCTTGAGGAGAAGCGGCAAGCGTCAGCTTCTGCGGTGGACGCAGAATTCAATGGACAGCAGCAGCAGCAGGACTTGAGGCAGCAAGTGGAGCAGCTGCAGCAGCAGCTTGCAAGCCAGGGCCAGCAACTGGAGGAAAAGGAGCAGCAGCTGCAGCAGCTGCAGCAGCAGCTGCAGCAGCAGACCGAGAAGGCGGCGCAGCAGCAGCAGCAGCTGCGCGAGTACGAGCGGAAGAGTGCTGCCGCTGCTGCAGCCAGCAGCAGCAGGAGCAGCAGCAGCAGCAGCAGCAGCCTGGCGAAGTCTCTGCAGACGCTGCAGCAGGAAATAGCCCGCATTCGGCTGCAGCACGAAGCCGCGCTGCAGTGTCTGGGCAGCTCTGCTGCTGCTGCTGACCAGGGCACAGCAGCAGCAGCAGCAGCAGCAGGGCAGCAGGCGTTCGACGACATTGGAAATATAATCCAGGGCATGCAGCGAGAGCAGCAGGAGCAGCAGCAGCAGCAGCAGCAGCAGCCGCACCTGCTGCAGCCGCTGCAGCAGCCGGGAAGCCCCTGCAGCAGCGTGGCCTGCAGCACGAGGGTGCGGTCGCGGCGCAGCAGCATCGTGAGCAGCAGCAGCAGCAGCAGCAGCTGCATCTCTTCGATGCTGACAGCAGTGCAGCGCATGCAGGAGATTTACACGAAAGCAACAGCAGCAGAAGCAGCAGCAAGGCAGCAGCAGCAAGGAGCCAGGCAGCTAAACCGCAGCAGCTTCTCTGTCTTGTCCAGCCGCTTCCCCGCGCTGCCGCTGCTTTCTGCTGCTGCTGCAGCAGACCCCAGCCGCCCCTCAACGCCTTCCCACCTCAGGTAGCTGCTGCTGTTGCTGCTGCTGCTGTTGCTGCTGCTGCTGATCTGGCTGGTGTCTTCGTTTGTGCTGCTGATGCCGCTGTTTGATGCTGACCCTGCTGCTGCTGCAGCTCTTCTGATTGCTACTGCTGTTTTTGTGACTGCTGCTGCTGTTGTTGCTGCTGTGATGGTTTCTGCTGCTGTTTCTGTGATTGCTGCTGCTGCTTCTGCTGTGATTGCTGCTGGTGCTGCAGCGTTGCTTCGCTTCCGGTGAATGTCCAAACGCCTGCTACCCGCATGTGGGGCAGCGCACATCCCGTGCTGCAGCAGCAGCTGCAGCAGCAGCCGCAGCAACACCAGCAGCAGCCGGAGCTCCAGCAGAAGCAGCAGCAGCAAAAGGCGCAGCAGCAGCAGCAGCAGCAGCTATGGGAAACGCCACAGACCCCTCCGCCGCTGAGCGTATCGAGCGTAGCTTCCGGAGACTTCAAGCAGCAGCTGCAGCAGCCGCAGCAGCAGCAGGATCCGCAGCAGCAGCAGCAGCAGCCGGAGCAGCAAACCACTTCGAGTATTTCCTCGCTGCAGCGGCCGCAGCAAGGCTCTGTCACGACAGCAGGAACAGAAGGGCCTTTGGGCCTCAGCAGCAGCAGCAGCACCGCTTCCCCGCCCTTGTTCGCGCAGCAGCAGCAGCAGCTGCAGCAGCAGCTGCAGCACTACGACCAGCAACAGCAGGAGCCGATGCAGCCCTTCGTATGGGAACACCGGCTGCTGCCTCCAAGTGTCTCGTCTACAAGCCCTAGCCAGACAGG